GAAATTTCAATAAGTACCCTGCCACCATCTGTCTCAATTTTTACTGAAAAGACAGAAGATGGGAAAAGTGATGGGAGCCCAGGTTTTGGGTTGTAAGTACATGTGTAACATTAAACACAATGGGATTCGTCTCTTCCATAGAGCTCTCATTTTCAAGATCAACTGAGCAATGAAGACAGCCCTAGACATATGACCAAAGCATTATGAAGTTGGGCAGCCTGGTTTTACAGCTTTACTTAGCCTTATTAGAGTCATGAAGTAGAAATATGGACTCATGTATAGTACAAGCAAAGTAAGGACTTCAGAATTCCACAACAGCAAGTAAGAGTTTGAGAGGAAGCAGAGAACTATTTAACCAAGCTGAAAAAATAGCAGTGTTTAACAATACTAAGTACAGAATGAGTTGCAGTCTCCTCTAGATTTAAGTTACACTTACCTCTAAAAAAATTACTTATATTTGGAATTTCAATAATACTTCTTCTCTATAACAGGCTTTATGAAAAGACTACTGCTTATTGGAAATGAGAAAAATTACTTAAAAAAAGAAGTTATTTTAAAACAGAATGCGTATCCCTGGAAACAGAAACAGGCAGAATATTGCTTAGCAAATTCCAAAATATTTTATGGTATTGGTAAGTTTATTATTCTAAAAATCCCCCTAAGTGGACAAAAGTTAGAGATCCTTTTGCAGATAGAAAAAATGAGGTCAGTTGTCCAAATGCTGTTTATAAAACATACGAATACAGAAGATAATTCTTCTTGCTACATAGGCGTTGTAGGAAAAACTACTAGGTTTTATCTGAAAATCTACTTTCTCCTTTAGTAATAGAACCCTACCCCCGCAACTGACTATATCAACAATCCTTCCTTGCTAGTAAGAGTGACCATGTGACTACATTCCACTCAATGCAAGCTAAGCAGTACTGAAATACTGTGAGCTGACAGAGTGCATCAATTGATAAGCACACCTTCCTAGGAAGTGTAGGCCCGGAGTTCAAACCCCAGTGCTGCCAAAAATAAAAGAAAGAAAAGAACTGAAATACTGAGTGAGGACTTCTAGGAAGATTTTGTTTATTTTATTTTATTTTATTATTCATATGTGCATACAAGGCTTGGGTCATTTCTCCTCCCTGCCCCCACCCCCTCCCTTCCCCCCCACCCCCTCAATACCCAGCAGAAACTATTTTGCCCTTATTTCTAATTTTGTTGTAGAGAGAGTGTAAGCCATAATAGGAAGGAACAAGGGTTTTTGATGGTTGAGATAAGGATAGCTATACAGGGAGTTGACTCACATTAATTTCCTGTGCGTGTGTGTTACCTTCTAGGTTAATTCTTTTTGATCTCACCTTTTCTCTAGTTCCTGGTCCCCTTTTCCCTAGTTCCTGGTCCCCTTTTCCTATTGGCCTCAGTTGCTTTTAAGGTATCTGCTTTAGTTTCTCTGCGTTAAGGGCAACAAATGCTAGCTAGTTTTTTAGGTGTCTTACCTATTCTCACCCCTCCCTTGTGTGCTCTCGCTTTTATCATGTGCTCCAAGTCCAATCCCATTGTTGTGTTTGCCCTTGATCTAATGTCCACATATGAGGGAGAACATATGATTTTTGGTCTTTTGGGCCAGGCTAACCTCACTCAGAATGATGTTCTCCAATTCCATCCATTTACCAGAGAATGATAATATTTCGTTCTTCATGGCTGCATAAAATTCCATTGTGTATAGATACCACATGTTCTTAATCCATTCGTCAGTGCTGGGGCATCTTGGCTGTTTCCATAACTTGGCTATTGTAAATAGTGCTGCAATAAACATGGGTGTGCAGGTGCCTCTGGAGTAACCTGTGTCACAGTCTTTTGGGTATATCCCCAAGAGTGGTATTGCTGGATCAAATGGTAGATCAATGTCTAGCTTTTTAAGTAGCCTCCAAATTTTTTTCCAGAGTGGTTGTACTAGTTTACATTCCCACCAACAGTGTAAGAGGGTTCCTTTGTCTCTGCATCCTCGCCAACACCACGATGGCTATTCTAACAGGGGTGAGGTGGAATCTTAGTGTGGTTTTAATTTGCATTCTAGGAAGCTTTTGGAAGGCTAGGGAATGCATTTTTCCTTGCTTCTTTTTCCTTCCATCAGCATGAAAAGCTGATGCAATGGCTGGATCTTTAGCAGTCACCCTGACTAATAGGTAGAGCTAGTGGCTGGGAGGATGGAGCAGAAACGAGGCCACGCTACTATTAAATCCTGAGGCTACCATGTCTGCCAGAGACCTCCTTTCTCTGGCCTTCTTTTACACAAGAGAAAAATAAACTATTATCGTATTTGAACTATTGTGATTTTTGTCTCCTTTTTCTGGGTACAGGCAGCTGAACCTAATTGCATTCCACATCTTAATCCTATCTGAACCAGCATCAGACCATATTTCTACTGGAGAATGAAATTTAATAGAACAAGATGGCAATTTATAGGTCTAACTAATTGTAGTCATGCAGACTTCTCTAAAACTATATAATATAATGACAACTTATAAAAGCTTTCCTTGTATACTAACAATGCTCAATAAATATCAATGCTGAAGACAGTTTTAAAGTTTTCTGCAATGAATTAGTATTTCCCAAAGAAATGTAATTTTGAACAAGTTCATAAAAAGAACAAACAATAAGGTAATATTTATAAAATATGATCCTAAATAAAGTTAAAGTTTTAGTTTCCTAAAAAGTATCATTTTTAGAAAGATAGCATGGGGTGCACATGAAGCAACCCACAAGTATACACATCACTGCATAAGCATTGCTTTGATGCATAATATCAATTACTTTTATTGAATTGTTTGTGGTACGTTTTTGGTTAAAAAAATTGTTAATACACAGTAGTTGGTAAGCTGCATACAAGGAGAAGGCATTAACATTATGATTTTCTGTGGCCAAAACAGTGTTAGATTCATATGCAACTCAGAACTTTAGTTATCCAGATGGTCTGAACACTGGCACGTGGCAGAATTTTATGTATGAAAACATGAGAGATGGAACACTTTATGTGGGAATAGTGGCTTTGTAACAATGTTCGATTAGGGGACATTAGGAACCTTGCCTTGGAGGCCATTAGCAAATTTATCTAGAAGATCTTCTGCTACATCATAAAACAACCAGCAACTGAAGACAAACTAAAATGCTTAGTATGCCAGTCTGCCTCAGACTTGCCATATGAGCTTCTCAGGAGCCAGCAATGGCTGTCATAGACAGATAGGGTAAAAGATACTGGCAATCAAAGGAGATGATGCCCAGACCACTTATAGTAAAAAGTTTAAACAACTTCCCACTTTGCTTTAGAGAGAAAATTCTTCTACTGAAGAAAGCTTGATTTTTGCCTTCTCAACTAGCCCTAGCAACTGCGTACATGTGGGGGGTGGTCTTACTGATGCTTTTCTTAACACCATCAAACTATTAATTCAAACTTGAAATCAATCTCTACTTCTTTCCCCTCTAAAGCAAGGTACCTTATCAATAATAAGTTATTATATAAGCTCATTTGAATGTGTTTTTTAGGGATATAAGTTACTCTTTTTGTATTCTGTCCTGAAATTAAATTTAAAGCCAGCTACTTTGAGTCTCTCTCTCTCTTTCTCTTTCTCTGTTCATCTGTCTCTGGACAGGGATAGGAAGTACAATAGAAACTCCAAATATATTAGGAAAAGATCTTGAAGTCTGGGCTTTATGAATTATTATAATGCAGCAATAAAAGGAATCCTAAAGACATTTGTGCACCCTGCTTGTCCCACTTGTTCAAATAAACAACAGTAATGTTCACTAATGAGATTAATCTACCAGTTACACTATAGCTGGAACACAGCAGATGATGGTTGTGATAACTTCCTTCTTGAAACAAAATACTTTTATTTACTCTTATCTTCTTGTGCTAAGCTTCTAAAATCCACAAAAATCATTAAACTGAAAGAGAGATGCTCAACATTACATAGTCTATTCATCCTACCTTATAAAATACTGACCTTAAAGTTTCCTGAGAATATAATTTTACTGGTTTTATCTGCCTTCACTATCCTTGTAAGGAAGAGAATCACTCATCACACTAAATGGGATTGCTAAGAAATTGCTGTAAATTTCTCTCACAAAGAAGCTCTCAAACTATAGATTACAGACCACTATGTGTATCAGGTCCATTGAAGTTTGTAAAATAATTTCTGGATCCCACTTATGACTTTATTGGATCAAACTCTCTGCATTGAGGTATAGGAACCTACATTGTAATGACAGCACAATGCCTTAAAATGAAATTCAAAGTCCTTAAACTGTACACTTGTTCCTCCTGCCCACTCACCAAAGTACATGGGAAACACTGAGTCCTAGACTACATCATTCAAGATTATGAAGCTGACATTTCCTCTCTCTACCTTAGCTAAGCTAATTGTAATTCTTCACCTTTCTTTCTTTAGCTTCTGTCTCTCACATTTTAACATCAATGGACCATTTTTTTCCCAAGCTTCCTCCAGGCTCTTGGTGACTCACGTTGGTAATGCAACAAAAGCAAACCAACCAGCAGTGACTGAATGGAAAGAATGTCAATTCATGGAATTGACACTTTCCCCTGTGTTCCTGCATAGATCCCTGTTATGGGGCAAGTGCTTGAAAAACGACATTTCTAGACATTTTTATCTCCTGAGGATAAGTCCTCCTTACTAGTTACAGGAACTCATTATATTTTCGAACACTTCCTAATTTCTGTCACTGAAATTCCACCTCCAAATTAACTACATAATGCTGAAAACCAAAGTTTCTCCTCATAGGTATTGTATCCATTCACATGTCAGGCCAGGATACTAGCCATAGGTCTACCCTGCTCTGCACTCAGGACACTGTTAATACCCAGAAGGCTAGGTGAAGGGCCCAGCACTGGTGACTCATGTGCAAATGCGGAAAGCACTGAGAGCTGGCCTGCCAAAAGAACTGCTCTGGCTCTCACACACAACACTCATGCCAGCTCAGTCAGCACGCCATACCTGCCCAGCCGGTGTAGCCGGTGCCATCCCGAGGGTCTGCTGATTTTAGGCCTCTCTCCATTTGCTGAAGAAGCTCTCGAATCTTGTTGGTCAAACGCTGTGAGAACTCAGGGGTCAGCTGTAGATGTTAAGAGAAAACAAATATCAAGAAAATATGGGCCATCCAACTTCCTAGACTGTACAAGTTATTTCATTTTCACTTAGGCCACATTTTTCTACCTGGAAACTAGACAATTAAAGATAGCACATTAATGAAACTTAAAAACTACTACTAAGGGCTGTGTATGGTGGCACACACCTGTAATTTCAGCTCGAATGGGGGGTGGAGACTGGGGAGATTGGGAAGATTGGGAAGATTGAGAAGACTGAGGTTCAAGACTAGCCTAGGCAAAAAGTTAGTGAGACTCCATTTCAACCAAAAGCAGGGCACACTGGAACATATTCCTATCATCCCAGCTATGTGGAAAGAATAAAAAGGGGACTGTAGTCCAGGCTGACCTGGCCGTATATACCACACCCTATTTGAAAAAATAACAAAAGCAAAAAGGACAGGGTCATAGCTTGAGCAGTACAGCATCTGCTTAGCAAGTTCAAGTCCCTGGGTTCAAACCCAGTACTGCCAAAAAAAAGTTTCTTTTGTTACTTAGGCAATATTATTATAACTTAAATACTCTACATAAAATTTCCACCTAATAGGGAACATATATTATTTAACCCAGTATTAAAAATTATAATAAAAACTTCTTTAAGCTGGGCATGATGGTATAATCCCAGCACTTGGGAAGCTGAGACAGAAGGATAGGGAATTCAAGACCAGCTAAGGTTACATACTGAGACCCTGTCTCAAAAACAAAAAGAAAACAAAACAACCCCCCCCAAAAAACACAAAAAGTCCACTTTATTAAATTAAACACAAATCAAAAGATGTCTGTGTTTTTAAGACACTGGCTCAAGCAGCAGAAATGTTAATCCTGAAAGGAACATTTTAATTGTTTTTATTTTAAAAAAATGAATAAATTTATAAAAAACTAACAAAGCATAAAACAAAGCAAAATAAATTCATGAACATCTGAAGCCCACAAGAATGTCAAACCCAGAATCAAAACCCACCCCGAGCACAGTGCCTGGCAGAATGGAGGGGCTTAGAAGTACTGCTCAATCAGTAAGCCTGGCAAATGATCTTGTTCAACTACTAACTTCTCTATATTCCAAAGGTACTCTGAGACTGGAGGTGTGGCTCAAATGGTAGAGTGCCTGTTTTGCAAGTGTGAAGCTATAAGTTCAAACCCCAGTCTCACCAAAAGGTACTCTGAGGATTAAATGAGGTTGTGTCATAGGTCTTTCTCACTCAGGAATGCAAATGCCAACATTTCTACAATTCTCTAGCAGGATCTATGACAAGGAGTAACACAGATATGGAAAGTAGTTAAGATGGGGCTCTGGGTAAACAGTGAGGCTCACACAATCCAATCACAGTTTCCTAAAGGTATGTTCTTCCTAGAGGCAGTTGAAAATGTGTGTGTGTGTGTGTGTGTGTGTGTGTGTGTGTGTGTGTATTTGGTGTTACTGGGGTTTGAATTCACAGCTTTCCGCTTGCTAGGCAGGCACTATACGGCCTGCGCCACACCTCCTGCCATTTTGCTCTGGTATTTTTGGAAATGGTGTCTTGCTTTTTGCCCAAACGAGCCAGGACCATAATCCTCCTCTTCTACACTTCTTGCCTTAGCTCAGATGAGAGATGCACGTCCAGCTTTTTTTCCATTGAGATGGGGTCTCACAAACTTTTTTGCCCAGGCTGGCCTGGAATCTCAGTCCTCCAGATCTCAGCAGCTTAGGATGGATGAAAGGGGCACCCAGACACTGGTTGAGACTGGGGTCTCAAAAGCTTTCTGCCGGGCTGGCCTCAAATCATAATCTTCCAGATCTCAGCCTCCTAAGTAGCTACAATTACAGGTGAGAGCCAACAGCGCCAGCTGCAAAATATTTTTAAAGTTCTATATACACTGAATCATTAAGTGTCTTAAAAAGTAATTTTGATGTATCAATCATTTTAGGAATTTGCTATGATAATCATGACACATCTATTATTATCAAAATCTCTGTTTTTTTGGCAGTACTGGGGTTTGAACTCAGGGCTTCACACTTGTAACACAGGTGCTCTACCATTTGAGCAACACCTCCGGCCCTTTTTTGTGTTGGGTATTTTTGAGATAGGGTCTCAGGAACTATTTGCCCAGGCTGGCCTCGAACCATGATCCTCCTCATCTTTGCCTCCTGAGTAACCAGGATTACAAGAATGAACAACTGGCTCAAAAAATCTCCTTTTTAAAAGGAGAATCTTAACATTGTAAAAAGAAAGCAGTGTCTGAATTAATAACAATAATTTAAAAAAGATATTAAGTTAACTTCTGAAGAACATTCCTGAGAAGGCCAATCAGACCTTCAACCATATGTGGATTTTCATTCACAAGCACCACTATGATTCTTTACTTCACACTCTGAAGAAACCACACTGTTTGACAGACACACTCCCATTATTAAATGATTTCTGCCCAAAGGTGAAGATTTCAACAGGCCTCAAATATACGTTTAGTATATACTTCAATATTCATATAAAAGGTCTATAAATCTCAAGTAGATATAAGAGTGGATCCATGACAGAACGTGCCATTTTTTTGTGCACAGGTCATGTGTAATTTATCATCTTGCCTGGCCTGACTTTAAGAGGTCAAACAACTAGAACACCTCAGCCTCAGCAAGGAAAGCTACTTTCTACTTGACATTTAATAAAGGTGACTTGCCCGAGAATATTGATTGCTTGTGGCAGTCCAGCAAGTAACTCAAACTCTAGCAATAATGTGAACAGTCTCTAAAAGTCCCTTTTTCCTGACAGATGCCAGAAAACATAAGAGTTCTTTATTGAATTCTTCGCATTAACATATTAAGGAGAAAGATCTGCAGGGTCTGATTTTTTGTGTTCAACATTAGAACTGGAACACCTGTTTCTTTGTAGGATCGATCCCAAAACTATGTTAGGCAATACATTACATTAGTATTTGGGGGTCATAGTTTAGATTTCTGAATGTCTTTCTCTTTCTTAAAGGTGTAAACAGCCCAGATAGTCAGTTACATTTCACTGAAGGCTTCTGTCACAGGGAACATTCTCAAGTAAGCTCCTGAGCCAAGCTAGCATGAAGCAGCATGTCCTCCTCCAACAAGACAAGGCATCTTCCACTTCAGATCTGCAGAGCTGGACAGAATGCAGGCCCATATGGCCAAGGGGAAGCCATCTAACCTCAGAGTGATTACAAAAGCTTTGCTTGGATAGCTCAACATTGGCCTTTAAATATTCAGATGGACCCTAACTACACTCACACTTTGGTTGCCTTCCACACTACAATCTTCTCTCTTTTCTCCCTCCTACCTGCATTACTGACCCAAGTTAATGTATAATGATAAATGTTTTACTGGACTAACCAAAAGAGCCACATAAAGTGAACTTCACAGAGAAGAAATGAGTTTATCACATGTGAAATGCTTTCTGTACGACTGACAAGTTTCCAAGAAATAAACTGATTTTTTTTTTGCACTCTTCTACGGAACTCACTCAGGACTCGTCAAAACTGGGTGTTCTTTTTTAGAAGGCACGTATTCCCTCTTAATAATTATAGCCACCCAAAGAAGCAGGCCAGAGCAGGCCCCTGGTTCTGCACAGCACATCCAGGTTCTCTCCTGCAAGTGCCTTATGAGCTAACCAGTTTAACTTGCTGAGTTTTTTTTTTTTTTTCCCTATTTTTCCCGCAGCTTTGCAGGCCTAAAACCCACGTCCCCTAGCACTGTATGTTTAGAGGTGTCCCTGCCACACGCCCAGTTTGCTCCACCCTTCCCCAGCACTACTTGTGCACAATCACAAAGGAATCACATGCACCCCTGAATGCCCCCAACACCCCTCAGCTCTCTACAACCAATCGAAAAGGCCTATTATATGGCGAACGCCTGACAATTTTTATAATATTCTCAATGACTGCAGTTATTTCTTCAATTCTGAGCTAATAATAACAGCAATGACGTATTATTTCATATTCAACACGTTAGAATTCAAAGTCTATTTTAGCATGTATTCTATACATTCGCATTTCTCCTCGAATTGTATTTTAAAGAATGGGGGAGGGGGGACGCTCAGCCCTTCCTTCCCAGAGGAACCGAGGCCCTCTGCGACCCCGCGGGGGTGGGGTGGCGGTCAGGTAGGGAGGCAGGGACCCCAAACTCACCCTCCCAGCAGAATCAAAGTAGCCTTCGGCCAGGGATTTGTTATAATCGGCATAAGGATTCGGGAAGGCCCTTTGAGCCATGGCGCCGGAAGCCAGCCTGCAGAACAGGGGGAAAAGAGACCTGAGGGTGAGGCGGGGGCCTCCGTCAGCCTGGGCGGCCGCAGCCCGCGCCAGAGCAACCCCGCCCCTGCAGCTCCGGGGCCAGCGGGCGGTACCGGCGGTCCGAGTGGACCCCGAGCCCACTGCGGCCTAGTCGCTAGGGCTCGGCACCTGCACGAAAAGGCTGCCAGGGCCCCAAACCCACCGGAATGAACGGGCCCCGTTTTGCACCCCAGCGCCCACCCCCGCGAACTCAAGCAAACGCGGATACCGCGGCCCGAAGCCCAGTTCAGTTCCACCCGGGCTCACACCAGGAGGCCTCCGACAAAAACACCGGCGGCCCTTGCACCGCCCATTTCTTGACGGCTGGGCCAATCAGAGCCCTCGCCGCTGCGGAGCCCCGCCCCCTCCGCCTTTCAGTTTGTTAAAGAGACAGAAGTGCAAGGCGAAAGGGTAAAAATAGGGTCATTTAATTCCTGCCTAGCAGCGGCAAGGGCCCGACTTAGACGAACATGCGAGTGTGCCCACAACGTGCACACTCCTATTTGGTTCTATCCTATTTGAAAAGAAATGTAAAGAGGGCAAATTAAAGTCCAGATTCATAACAATTCAAAACAATTGTTTTTATCTGGAGAAGAAAAAAAGGAAGAAAGAAAGAAAAAAGAGAAGAAACAAAAACCACAAGACCCAGGGACCCAGGCTATTTTGAGGAGAGGGATAAGGGGATGATAACAAGTCCTTTGGGGATAATTTACACTTAAAAGTACTTCATAGGTCAGTGTGAGAGCCCAGGGGACAAAGAGTCAAATGACAACCGTTAAAACTTCAGGAAAAGACATAAAAACCCAAACCACAGCTGTTACCAAATCTGATCTGCTCCTTAGCTTAAATTAGTCTACAATATCGAATACTGAAATCCTTAAACTAAATAACAAAGACCAACAAAGCCTTTGTTTAACTGAAAATTTTTCCTTTCTTTAAACAAATCCCACCTGGTAAATATGAGGCCCATTCTGTTTGTTCAGAGAATTCTGGAGTCCTGTTAAAAATATCACTCTTTCCTTTCCTTCTTGATCAGTGAAAAATCCTACCCTCAGACCTCCAATTGCTGAAGTTCATTCCCACCTTGCTCACCTTGCCCCATGTTTGTCCTTCTGTGGTTGCTACCCCAAACTTTACCTCTGACAACATTCCCCACACCCTACCCCAATCTCAACTGTTTTGTTGTTTTTTTTAACTCTTACTCTCCCGGGAAACTTAACAGCTCCTTTCTCTCACCAAATTCATGAAGAGTTGGTGGAGAATCTAAGCGTATCTTAAACTGGATATCCTTCCTATCTTGAAATAGAGATGTTTGGAGCAGTATCTCATAAGAGGCAAAGAAAAGGAGTCAGAGGCATTTTATCATTTTTTTCTGTAATAAAAGCCAAGTATCACTTCACCCCATTCACAGTCTATATGAACAATTTAAATCCGTGTGATATTTAAATACATTAATGACTTATAGATGTGATGAGTCAGCATCACATAACATGTAACGGGCAGATTGTGCTTAAGCAAAGGAAAGAGTAAAATAGGAAGGTGGGAGGAGTGTAAGGAAGTAGGGAGACAGGGAAGAAAAGAGATGTTGGTCAGTGTGCAGGGCAGCCCCCAAAGTCCAAAGAAACACCAAACACCACTACTTGAACAATGTAAAGAGCAAGTAGAGGGCTTCTCAACCTCCCTGCTATTGACATGTGGAACTGACAGGTTGTTGTGGGGACTCTCCTCCTCACTGCTTACCAGTAGCTTGGGCCCAGCAGATGCCAGCACCACACGTACAGTGGGGACAACCAAAAGAGGCTTCTAGATGTTGAATGTCTGTTCCCTGAGAGATGGGAGTGGGGAGAAACTGACCCTGGTTTTGAACCACTGAGGTAGGGTAACTTAAAAATGTTTGTAAGATTAGATGACATTTACTCCACTATCACCATTATAGGTTTGGCTTGCTAGGATAATGCACTGGGTTCAGGAGGAACTTGGGGAGGGTGTGTGTGTGTGTGTGTGTGTGTGTGTGTGTGTGTGTAAACCTCAGGTATAGGATTCAACTAATTATACTCCTTGGGTTTTAGTACAGCCTCAAGCATGCAAGACCTTATTCCATTTTCCCCTTTAATTTCCATTTCCTACATATTCTTCTCCTCCAGAAGGCAACTTGAATGATGTTTAATTTATATATCCTTTGAAAATATGTCATATTTTGTGAACTGATACAATTCTCAGGAACCTGTGTGTTACATGGATCTGTGTTACTTTATATGCAGTTTGCTATTTTAGATAATTGTGTGTTTTCATGCTGTACTAGTCTTCATTGTGTTGCTAATAATACAATATCACAGACTTGGTAAATTATAAAGTAAAGAAGTTTATTTTGTTTTAATGTCCTGGAAGTGTAAAGTCAAGGAGCCAAATATGGTAATAGCCTTTTTTCTGTTAAAGAACTGAGGTGGCACAAAACATTTCATGGCATGAAATTAGTGTCTGTGTGTGTGTGTGTGTGTGTATGTCTATCTTCTGTTCTCCCTTCCTCTTATAAAGTCACCAAAATTCAGTTATAGTCACGAACTTATCTAATTCTAATCACCCCACAAAAGCTCTACATCTAGCCCATCATAGTCAGATTAAGTTTCTACCCTCTTAATATTTCATGATGGGAATTATTTTTAGCACATGAAGACTTGGAGACATTCAAATCCTATTCAAACCACAGAGGCCTCTCATTTTACTAATATAGTCTAGCCTACCACAAATAACACAGCTGGGAATATCAAGGTACATATTTTCTTATAGACCTGGGCATGAATATCACTGAGACACAGGTACTCAGAAGCCAAATGCAGGGTTGTAGGACATTTTCAAACTTAATTTCCCCAGTGCTGTTAGACTGCTTTCTAGAACTACTGGACTAGTTTATATTCCCTCCAATAACAGACAGTAATTTCTGTCATTCTCATGTCCTATCTAACACTGTATATTGTCTGGTCCAATTTTGATGTTGTGGTTTGAGGATTTAGCTTCATGTTCAACAAGTCTTCATGTACTCATAGCCTGAAAAAAATCACTTCTTATGTTTTATTTATTGGCTTTTGACCTTTTATATTTAAGTCTTTAATCTGTCTGGAGTTCATTTTTGAATATAATATATGGCATGGATTCAAACTTTTTTGGTGAAGGAAGTAGAATAGATAATGGAAGTTCAGATATAATCAAAGCATGAATAAATCCTTTCTTTGTTCATTGTAAAAATCCAAAGGTTTTTTTATTAACAGAGATCATGTGGTCCTTCCTCTCCTTTTCTTCTCTCCTTCTTTCCCTCCTTCCCCCTTCCTTTTAGTTAGAGAACCAACATAAAATATCCTTCCTAGGTTCCAGGTGAAAAGAAAAATGCTTGACATTTAGAACTTGCATTACTCTTTCCCTACAGACTAATATATATTTATATATATATATATATATATATCATAATGCTCCTCTTAGTTTATGAAGCTATGTTGTATTACCTCTCAGGAAATAATGCCTTTAAAAACAAAATTCTTCTAGAAATCTGGGAAGATTTTATATTAAACAGAGAAAAGAAATATCATCTGTGGGTTCTTAGTTCCATTCTAAGACACTAATTTCAAAATGTTATAGCATGTATTAATATGAAAGCTAAGTTATGGGTATAAAATGGCCCCAAGCCACCATCACTGAAATAGAAATGTATTTCTCTTAGTTCAGGGAAGCTTTGCTCCATATAACTATTCAGGATTACAGCTTCCTTCCAGCTTGTTGCTCTTCCCTTCCTCAGTGTGTTACCTTTGGTTGCAAAGTCCATGCTGTTCCCAGTGTGTCTATATTCCAGCTTATGAGAAGCTCAGGCAAACGCAGGAGTGTACAGGCCAGGCAGTGGAATTCATCACTTCTGTCACTGATCCCTTGGTAAAAACTAAATCACATTGCCACCTTTAACTGCCTGGGGAGGCTGTGGAAGGAGTTCTTCTGAGCAGCTGTGTGACCGGCTATAATGAAAGGAGGAGAGACTTTAGTGGATAGTTAGTGGTCTCTAATGCTAATGGAAACACTAGTGGCTCACACTTCCTGTCTCTTAGCAAAAGGGCACCGTACTTAAGTTTCTGTGGTCTTCCCTTTGCCTCCTAACCCACGGCAACCGTTCATTCTCTGATTCCTACGATACGTTTCCTTGAAATTTGTTAGCTGCTGGATCATTGACCCATAATAGAAGATAGATCTCAGGACTGCATATTCTTTCTTTTTTTCCAGATAGTTCCCTCCCTCTCAAACACGCACGCACACACACACACACACACAGAGACAAATGCCTTTTACATTTTTTCACTTTTCTCCTGAGTATCACACCTCCATCTTGAGTTGGCTATGCTATTTCCTTTTCAGCTCAAAGAAGTTCAGAGCAAGAATTATCTAAGCCTGAGTTTAATATCACCATCGTGTTGGTTTAACATCCAGCTGGAACTGTGTAGTATTGAAGAAGCAATTTTCTGTTTCATTCATGGAACAGAATTCATGGATTGACAGGAGGTATTGCTAGTGGAGGAAACAAGAACATAAACAGATGTACAGCGGGCACACTACTGTATACTTTTCATTTCCTGGAGACAGTATTTCCTATGGCATTGGCAACATTTCCTCCTGCTTTGTCAGAACCGTTATTAGTATGCTGACAGATCCCTTTCTCTAAACATACCTGCTGGGTGAGAGCTGCTATTATGTGCAACACAGATGTGCTAGGGTTTCCTTGGGAGATTAAAAAGATTGTGAGTACAAAAAGTTGGCAAAAGGTGTTCAAATATTTAAGCTGTTTTTTCTTCTACTCTCTTGAGAAGGGGTCTTGATCAACAGCATAGCACATGTCTTTATGAGCAAAAAGAAAAAGAAGCTTTCCCCTTTACTGTTGAAAATTTGTACCTATGTGTTAAAATTATGCAAGCCTCCATTGTCTATATGTAGAAAAGCATAATGAAGGTGGAGATGGCACGTCATTATGGCCCCTTACCTGGAGTACTTTTCTCAACAAGGAACCATTAATCAGGTTGATTGCATTTGCTTTCATCCCCACCCACCTATGAAAACTCACCTGTCCCATTGTGACTTGTTGTTTGCCATATCTGACAGTCCTGTCTCCTGGCAGGATAAAATAGCCAGCAGAGAGATAGTGGTCCTTATAGCACTTCTTTTAAGTTTTGTAATTGCCTCACAGCAGGTCATTTTCAATCACTTAAAAATAAAAACTCCAAAATTTCCTGGCTTGCCTGGTAGTTCCATTATTTG